CCTACAGGAACAGCCCCTGTTCTGTGTTCATGCCCGCCTGCTACATGACTCGACATGCTTCCGCATTTGAACCTGATCTAATCTATTTTACTTGAGCACTGTAATCTTATTGGTTGACCGTAACTCATGTGCGAGTTCCCAAGTGTCCCACCTTAGACCCACCTCACCACATGGTTTTGTTCTATAAAAATCCCTATAGAAGGAGCAGATTACCAGGGCACCCCCGCCAGTCCCCCTTTTGTGCTTTTGGACAGGAGCTTTCTTTTCCCAATAAATATATTGTGCTCTTAACCTCCACTGTTCCTAAAGTTCATTCTTTGGTCTTAGAGAACGTGAACTCGGCCCAGATATCTTTCAGGTTGGGGGTTTCATTCCCCTATATCAATGTTTAGTATATATATAGATCTATATCTATATCTATATCTATATCTATATCTATATCTATATCTATATCTATATCTATATCTATATCTATCAGAAAACAATTTTCAGAATAACATGAATATGTTCAATACTTGTAAAAAATGTATGTAGATATTTTTACATATTTAAGTAGTGCGAAGATTTACTTTGAACTATGGAGAATAGGGATATTTTTAAACATTTTTCTCTTTCCTTTCCTTTCTTTCTTTTTTTGGGGGGGTAATGAGACTTGAACTCAGGACTGTGTGCTTGCCAGGCAGGCGCTGTGACACTGAGCTATATCCCCAGCCCCTAAACTTCTTTGGAAACATCTTGTTATATTTGCATCTTAACTTAAAAGCGTTTCACAATCTAATGACTGAGTACCTGTTGATTTCATAGTGTCTGAGAATCTGAGGCTAGTCATTACGGAATCCACTTTCCACGCATGCTCTGTTAGCCCCCTTTGTGTCTGCTTGGCTCTCTTCTCCCGCAGGGCTTCCACTAACTGTCAGCACTGTCGGCCCTTTGCCGGCCACTGCCCCTGTGCTGTGGGGCCTGCTCAGCATGCTCTTGCAGGAAGCCAGAAAATGCCCAGGAGCTGGTGTCTTCCTAGAGGCACCCATTAACCAATAGCTGATAGGTGAAAAGGTAGGACTTTTCCAGATCCGGTTCCCCTTGCTTGGGAATTCGGAGACGTGTCTTAGGATCCATGTGTTGGGAATTTGCCAGGAGTCACGCTTCAGCCTCACTTCTTTCCTTTCCTGATCAGACTTCCTAAAGAGATGTCACTCACCTTGAGGACCACCTGGAAGCTTTATCTGGGGGCTGCTCTGGGGGCTGCTCTGGCGGCTTTATCTGGAAACAGTTTGGGGCCAACACTTGCATACATGTCCTTTGGTTCAATTCTCACTCTGCGTATTCTGACCTAAGATGAAGACCAGTCCACTTCAAGTGTCTGTAGATGTCACCTGAGCTCTGTGAGCACAGGCCTTGTGGGTCTAGAAGGTCGGACACTCAGATGCTCAGGCGCGAGCCCCAGGCTCGGTAGCCACAGGTGATGCACCCAACTCCAGCCTGCCTTGCTTTGCTCGTCTGGGAGACAGGCTGTTGACTGGGCTGCCTCACGGAGCTATTCTGAGGAGAAAATAAAATGATGTGAAGTGTGTCCAACACGTTAGTCACTGAATGATGGCTTCAAAATGAACAAAGACCCTGTACGTACGCATGGGTGCTTCTCTCTGTGGAGGCTGTGGCAGGTCTGATGAGAGAAACACTTCCTTGAAATGAAAGGATGAAGATCACTCTTTAGGGGATATTATTTTTACATGTAATCATGTGAAGTAAAGTCTATCCATCATTGATTTAATAGGACTCTGATTGCTACCCCATTATTGAATAAAACCAGTCTACATGCTGAGTAGTTGTGGGCGCACTAGGACATGGTTTGGCCTAAAGTTCACTATGTGCTATTTTCACAATGGATCCCCATGAATAGTATATAATAATCTGGAATAAGATAAATCAGATATAGTGAATCAAACGATGAAAACTTGTATATCCTGTTGTCAACTACATGGTCACTGAATACTAAATCATTTTAATGTCTTAATTGGACTGTTCGCAGAGCTGTGTGCAGTCACATCCTTTGTCAGTCTAGTTTTACTTCGATGATTAAAGAAACTTACTCTTTTATCTGCGTAAAGATTTACCATTGTAAAATTTTACTGTATGATTTTTCTTGGACCTAATATAAAATTTATTTTTATTAATTTATTTGGTATTTTTGAAACAGGGTCTCACTATGCAGTTCAGGCTGGACTTGAAATCGCTTTGTAGCCCAGGTTGGCCTGGAGCTCAAGGCGATCTTACCGCCTCAGCCTCCAAGTGCTGGGATTGCAGGCATGCGTTTCCACGCCTGGCTGATATTTCCCTGTTTTTTTTTTTTTTTTTTCTTTTTGAGACAGGGTCTTGCCATGTAGCTCAAGCTGGCCTTGAGTTCACTTTGTAGCTCATGCCTGTTTGGAACTTGCAAGGATCCTCCTGCGTCAGCCCCTAAGTGCTAGGATTGCAGGCATGTGCCACCATGCCCCGTTTAATATAAAATTTCTATGTGAACATGCATTGTAATAATGCCTGGGCTCTACAAAATTCTCTTGGTGAAGGTTTCTTTGCTGATATTTAATTCTATTTAATATAAAAAACACATTTCCTCGTGGTTTCAAATTTCATTTGGTATTAAAATCTCTTTGTTGTAATTGCTGTCATCCTCTCCTTGTTTTTCTCTAATTATTCTGATTAGTGAAAATTCCTAGTTGTTCAAGGACTGTATATTTAATCTTTGGATTTTCCAAATCCTCTTACTTTTTTCTGTGCATTCATAATCATTTACATGTTTATTTTTATAGTTTTGCTAGATGGTGACAGTAGAACGAAGTTTATAATAGTTTGCTATTTCTGTATTTTTACAGAAATCTAATCTTGATGAATGCGTGAAGAATTTTAACCATTTGTGGATGTTAATCCTTGTTCACCATTGTATACAGTGTAAAGCCAAAACCCTCTTCTTTTTTCTTAGTTTCATAGCGCGTGCATAATCCTTACTACTGAGGAATACTTGTAATTTTAGGGACAGAGCTAGAAGCTATTTCTAGAGGCTGACAGGCACGCTACTCCACACTGCTGCAAGCAAGAGAGTGATGCAGCAACAGATTCTAGATGCCTCCCCCTGGCTGCTTGGCCACATCTCTAAGAAATATTTCTCGTGTCCTCTATCTCTATACATTTTGTCTGTTGTTGTTCCCTGCTTCCTTCCACAAAGTTGTATTTACTTCAGAGTTTATCAGGAATTTCTTAATAAATTTTTGGTTTTTTGAGACAGAGCCTCACTCTGTATTTCAGAATGGACTCAGACTTGCAGTGACCCTCCTGGTTCAGCCTCCTGAGGGTTTGGATTACAGGCATTAGCCACCATGCCTGGCAATGAACTGCTAGAATTAGTATTTACTTGTATTTACAGAATTACACAGGCAGGTCTTGATGGTTCACCTACCTTGTTTCTCTTCAGATATTACTTTTAGGAAACAATTTTGAAGAATGTAAAGGTTCTCCGTGATCACAAGTATCATTATGATAGGAATGCCTGTGACGTGTTCTTGAAAATAGGGAAATTATTTCCTTCCATCCCACCTTTACTTTTCTTGTTCTCTTAAGGAGCAGCTTGAAAAGAAGAGGTGGGTTGGGGAGATAGCTCAGTGGTCTAAGCGCCTGCCTGGCAAGCACAAGGACCCAGGTTTGATCCCTGGTACTGCGTGCCCATGCTGGCTGTGTAGCAAGACCCTGTACCAAATAAATAAATAGGAATTTTTTCCCTTTAAGGTTCTCCCTTTAAATCTATGCAATCAACCGGCAGTCTTCTCCTAGTTATTATCAATAATGATGAATTTAATTATGAAGGGTTCTAAAGGAGCACAATCCCAGTATTACTGATCATGCCTTCACTTTATTAAAAGCTTAAGTATTTAAGCAATTCCAAGATTTTTTTGCTTCAAAAATCGTTTTCAACAAGAATATGTCCTATTTTGAGAAACTAATTATACCGCATCCCTCTTTATTTCCACTTTAAACTTCTGTCATATTAATGGAGAAGGTTCAGGAAAACACAACTCTTCTTACTATTGTTTTAAAAATGTAACCGAGGCCTCTACCTTAGAAGGAGCCGCAGGACACCGCGCTGCCCTCAAGGTAGTCTGCACATGTTTTCACATACTCAATAATCTTGGGGCTATAAAATGTAAAATTCTCTGAAGTTCTTTAAAAGGCTGAGATCAAATCAGCTACACATCAAAGAAAAATCTGGGCCAAATACATTTTGTAGGGGATAAATGGGACATCTCAGAGTCCCTGGTCCTTTCCCAACCTCCCCTCAGAATGGTTTTCCAGAAAGTCGGAAAATATTTTAATGCCAAAAAGAATTAGAAAAGATCAAGGTGACAGACTCTTAACAAAATGTGGTATTTATTACAAATGAGAGGACAAATCAGGAAGAAAAACAAAACTGGAGCACAGAAAGAGCTAGACAGAAAGCAAGCTTGAGAACCGACCAAGTGAGGCACAAAAGTCAGCTCAGCCTTCTGGCAGCCAGTGCATGAAGGGGCATCTACCCGATGCTTTGGGTCTATTATGAAACCAGTTATTTAGAGGATAATGGATTATTTCTGGAGTATGAGGAACTTTTCTGCAGATCCCATGTGTGACACTGTCTATATTTTTGCATTTGGGAGTTTTATATATAAGGCTGTCCTCTCAGCTAGCCTTCGATAGATTTAATTGTAACAAGGCTCACTTCAGCCTCAAGAACGTAAACTGTGGATGTAATTTGAGTTCCCTTAACATGACCTATTTTGCAGGTAGGACGTGCTTATAGATCCTGGGTGTTAAGAATTCAGTTTCTTGGGCACCTCAGGGTGCTGCGTTGGATCAGCAACTAGGAAACGGGTAAATGCCTTGTATGTGTCATGGCTGAGATTCTACATCCTGAAGGGTGGATCTTAAGGCCTAAGAGGACGACACAGTGGGATTTCCTGAGGCGAGGTAGGCTTTTTCTTTTCCTTCATTCATTAAATGATAAAACCCACGAGATGTGTACTTTTCTGTCTTTAATTGAACAGCACAGGATTAATATAATGAAGAAAAAAAGAATGAGTCTTTGGGGTTCAAAGTCTTGTGTTCAGGATGTTAACAGCCAAGCATTCGCTATGGAACCTGAGGCAAATCTTTCAATATTGCTGCAAACCATGTTTTAACCTGTAAAACAAATGGCTAATTACCTGTCCTTCTCAGAGACCGCCCCCTCCCCGACAGCCCATTACCACTACTTTTATTTCGTAGTTGATCTCATGAAGGCATTTATTTGGAGGCACAATCCAGTTGGTTTGTGTCCAGAATGCTTATCAGAATGACCATCTCATGGATACATGATAAAGATGTTTGCTGGTCCAGTGAATTAAACTATTTACAAAATCTCACAGTGCTACTACATAAATGGAAGCTGCACGGGGGAAGCAGGTAGGATTTTACTGTTTTGCCCTCATTTTGGCCCAGAAGTTCCTGCCTGTGACCCGAATGGCCCCAAGCAATTGGTTCCAGTCCAGATGGCAGGCAGGGCCTGGACACTGACGCCTCTTGCACTTCCAGCCCTCTGGAGGTGTCCTTGCTTCAAAGATCTCAGCTGTGCTTTGGATCATCTGGGGTCTCGTGTCCTATTCTTTACACAGTCATGCTGCCGAGCAGTACCTGTAAACAAACAAACAAACAAACATTGTTAAACATTTATACTGCAATCCATTTTGTATGTATCCACGCGTCCAGGTGTGCATGACTTTTATGTAATTACATAAGAGGTTACGGAGACCTGTCACGGACTGCGAGCCTGTTTGAACCCACTATGCCTTTATATTTCTATGGAGTAGGTGCCATTGGAATCTCTGTTTTGAACATGAATACTTTGAAGGGAAAAAAAATAAGGTTGTTTGACCAATGATGTGTGTGAAATGAGTCACGGGCTGTCTTAACCGCTCTGCTATCACACCCCTTGACTGCTCCTGTACCTGGATTTTCTCAACTCATTATTTTGGGAAGACTAAAGAGAACTCTGACACTTACTTTGCTAGCCCTGCTCTTTCAAGTTTCTAAGTTTCAACTGGGATTTCCTTTGAGTGCTTATATTGGTAATGAGAACTATAAAGGTTATTTATAAAATACGTAAGAAAATGAAATTCAGCACAAGGCTTTTGCATGATTACATAGTGAAGGACTGCTATAACAAGTTTTAACAAAATCACCACAAACCTCAGGGCACACACTGAAACTCTAAGTTTGGTTTAAAATAAGTAGTTATTTTTTTACCCCTGGATTAAATTTCCCTTTCTAGAAGATAGCACCTGTACAACTATCTTAATATCAAAATGGTGACAATTTCATTTTACTGCTTGCTATTACATTATCTTGTAAAACTGATGATTCTGCAAGCGTTTCTCTTTATATTGGATGATCTCATTAAGCAGCAAACTTTAGCGAATTAGTTGAAATACTTAACTACCCATAAAACACAATTACATAAATGCTGACTGCTTAAAAACACATTTCACACCTGTTTCTATGAGCACATAACCTACCAGGACACAAACACTACACCTAAGCATAATCTGAATTGCCCTTACTTTCTGCCCTGAAGGGTTTGACACTAAGGACTGACCGTGTGAGAAGGGCACAATCACAACTCAGATCATACACAGTGTTTCTTCATTTATAAAAAGTGGAAATGCCAAAGTTTTATTTGCCAGGAATTAGGAGGAAAACATCAGTGAAATAAATCTGGTAACATGACTCACACAAATGATTTTTTTTCCAAATTCACAACTTTCACATTTGGCTGAGCTGAAAAGATTAAACAACAAAAAAAAGGTAAACTGTAAAAAGAACTTTCACTAGACTTAAGTAGGCCAAACCATATGATTCCTGCAAACGAGTTTAAATGAGAATGAGCACACTGTTCTAGCTGGGAAAGTATTTTCCTTAACTTAGCAGGCTTTTAAGAGTCCATACTACTTCAGTGTTTCTCTATGTTCCCTTTTGACCTTAGACAGGCTCTATAATTACAAAAATACTTTTCACTTAATGGATTCATAAGTTCACCAATTCAGTGCCCTGTGGATGTAATAACAACAGGGCTATTACTGGTAGTAAAGTTTACTTAGAAAACTGAGGAACAAATCCCCGAGCCTCCTCCAGGCACCTAGAAATGGAGGGAATTCCAACACAGAAAATAGGACTCCAAGGAAAGAAGAAACCAACTGGAAACTTCTGGAGTCCAACTGCACCCTTTTGCCCTTCTCCCCACCTTCGGTGCTAGATAAGGTGGAACAGGTCGGGTGTGTCCATGGACCCTTGTGAAACTGTCACTTTTACCTGTCTTCCTTCCCCCTCTGGACAAGAGAAATGGAACAAGTGCTCGCTTCACACCACAGCCTCTGGGGCTGAAAAGCCCTTCCATGAGCATACTTTGTCTGTCCAGGGAAAAGCACTGTTTAAAGAAACACTGCCAGCAGTCACTCTCCCTCCCTAGGAACCACGGGAAAAGACTGTTGTCCCTACTTGTAAGAGGGAGGTCCCTTCCTCCTGCGACCGCCCCAGGCCTAGAGGCCGGGCCGGGCCGCCTTTGGAGCCGCGTGGGAGCAAAGGCAGCTCTCAGTCCTCCATGGCGAAGTCTTTGGTCTTCTCCTCCTGGTCCCCCACTCTGTAGCGCAGCAGCACGCGCAGGCGGCGGGGGTTGTCCTCGGAGGGCAGCAGCGTGATCTCCCCGGAAACCTCGGTGTCCTGCTCCACCTGCACCGGCTCGTTCAGGTAGAGGAGCGCCTGCTTCCAGTGCGTGGCCGGGTGGAAGGGCGAGGTGGACAGCACCAGGGGCTTCTCCGACTCCCCCCCGGGGAAGGTCACCTGGAACCAGATGGCGAAGCCGTGCAGGGGCGCCGAGCCGTAGCAGCTGCAGCGGAAGCGCCCGCCCACCCCGGCCTCCAGCTCCTGCTCCAGGCCGGCGCGGGCCAGCTCGAGCTGCGCGAAGCGCTGCGGCCGCGCCAGCACGTCCTCGCCCGACAGGCCCTGGACCACGATCTCCGAGTGGCCCATGAGGCAGCGCGTGGCGAAGCGCTCCATGCAGCTCATGTCCACGCCGTAGTGCTGCTTCACCTGGCTCCAGAAGCCCAGGCGCCACTCCAGCGTCTGGTCGCTGACGGGCGCCACGAAGAGCTCGGCGGAGGCGGGCAGCAGCAGGCCGCCCTCCTTGAGCCAGCGCGCGCGCGCGTGCAGCACGGAGCGCAGCATGGACTCGTGCAGCAGCCCGTAGCCCATCCACTCGCTCACGATGGCGTCCACGCGCTCGGGCAGCTCCACCGTCTCCACCGGGCCGGCCAGCACGTGCACGCGGTCCTCCAGCCCGTTCAGCCGCACCACCTCGCGGGCCTGCTGCCAGATGGAGCTGGCCTCCACGGCGTACACGCGCCGCGCGCCGGCCTGGGCGCAGAAGACGCTCAGGATGCCGGTGCCCGCGCCCACGTCCAGCACCGTCTTGCCGCGCAGCGCCGCCCAGTTGCGCAGGATGCCCAGGCGGTAGGCGTCGGTGCGGACGCGGTCGGCGATCATCTCCTCGTGCACCGACACGTCCGAGTAGCAGTCGTAGTACAGCTGGTCCCGCTCGCGCTTGGTCCTCCGCGGCCGCGCGGTGGCCGCGTCCAGGGCCAGCTCCCCGTCGTCGCCCTCCGCTGCTTCCTCCCCGCCTTCGCCGCCGCCCCCCGACTCGAGCTTCCTTTTCTTGGTCTGCGACATCTTGGCGGCCGCGGCCGGCTCCCGGCGGGCGTTGCGCGGCGCGGCGCGGCGCGAGGGCTGCTGGGAGTTGTAGTTCGCGCGTGCGCTTCTCGCGGCGCGGGCTCCGCGGCTCTGGAGCCCTGGATCGCGTACTCCCGGGCGGGATCCTCCCTCTTTCCCTGGCGCTCTTTTGATTTCGCGCGCTTCCTCCTGGAAGGAGGCCCGCCCACTTGGGGGTAGAAACTCGCTTTGCTCTTAGGTCGCGCCCGCTCCCCGCCCGTCATCCGACCCCGCCCACCTGCGCACCGCCCTCCCCGCGGCCGGACGAGCCCCGCGCGGAGCCCGGATCCTGGATCCCGCGTGCGGAGCTCGGATCCCGCGTCCCGCTTCTCCAGCCCGCGGGCTGGGGCGTGGGAGTCGCGAGCGGGCGAGGCCAGCACCGCCCAGGGCCTGGCCGCGCCCAACGTCAGAGAGCCTCCCTGGACCGAAGTTAGGCGTTCTTCGACCTGAAGGAACCGTGTTCGTAAGAACTGTGTTTCTGGTCTCTGTTGGAGAAAGAGTAGTTCCCTGGCTCAGGTTCTCGCGCTCGTAATTGGTGGCTCCTTCGGAGTCAGGTGTGCCCAAGCCTGCAATCCTAGCGCTGGGGAGGCTGAGGCAGGAGGATCCTTGTGAGCTCCAGACCAGCCTGAGCTTCAGAGTGAGCTCGAGGGCAGCCTGAGCTGCGTAGCGAGACCCTGTCTCACACAAAAATGCACACACACACACACACACACACACACGAAAAAGAGGTCATGCACATAAGAAACAGTGATGTGATAAAATCTATCGTATTTGGGCAACCCATTATATGTATATATTTCCAGAAATAAAGCGCTTCATGCAATTTTTTCAAAATTATTTTTCACTGCACATGACCTTTTTTCCTGGATGTTTCTATGGACAAACTTGCTATCTGCCTCCTCTGTTTTTCTTTTTAAAAAAACGTTTTAAAAAGGTTTTACTAATGCTTAACGGATCACTCAGAACCTCACGGGCCTTGGCCCCGCTGCGGTAGATGGCTCCCCACTTTCCCCGGGCCATGATTCCCACGCCTCTACTGCTTACATTTCAGTGCCCAGAAAAGAAGTGCCCACTAACTGCTCCTAATTTCATGGTTAAGTATACAAAAGAGTTTAGCCCCTCCCCTGAAAAAATATAGAAAGCACACAATTTATAAGAGTTAAATCAATATATTCCAAGGTTTACTTCTCTTCTGTTTTGAAACTCTACAATCTAATCATCTCAGGCAAACCAGGCATACCTTCCCGAGTCTCTTATCCCAGACTAAAGGAAAGAGTCCTCAACAAAAGGAGGAAAAGAAGAAGGAAAAATACCTTCTTTCCTGGAAACTCCACAGGAAGGGACCACAGTCAATTTCTCAATCAGGTTGACTATATATAACAAATAATAAAATAAAAAGTGATTAAATATATATATATATATTTTTTTTTTAAAGGCTTTACTTATTTAGTACAGGGTCTCGCTAAGCAGCTCAGACTTGTAGTGATCCTCCTGTCTCAGCCTCCCCAGCGCAGAGATTACAGATGAGCCCCACCATGCCAGGTTCCAGGGCCGCCACCACATGGGGCACCTGGGAATGAACCTGGCTCCTTGTGCTTGCCAGGCAGGCGCTTAGACCGCAGGCCTATCTCCCTTGCCATTTTTCTATTCTATCAACCATTATCTGTTACTCTCTTCTTTGCTGTACATAATGAAAGTAAACTATATTTTTAGATGAGCAGTGTCCATGATCTTTAATAAGTGAAATAGGAATAACATTTTCTCCTAGCTTAAAATAATAACAAAAAGAAAAAGAGGGGCTGGGAGATAGCTCGGCAGTCTTAAGTGCCTCCCTGGCAAGCGCAAGGACCTGGATTCGGTCCCTGGTACAGCCGGGCGTGCTAGCCCCTGAACCCTGGGTGTGCCATGCCGACCACCAGAATGGGGTGTGCAATCCTAGTGCTAGGGAGGCTGAGACAAGAGGGTCACTACGAGTCCACGCTACGTAGAAACCCTGTGCCAAATAAATAAATGAAAGATTAAGAGGAGGAAAGACAATAAACTTTTACTTTTCTCTGAGGTCAAAATATATCCATTCAACCCGTGAACGTATCATGTGCATGGGAAAAATTCCTTCATTCCGCTCTATTAATTTTTCTTTTTTTTTCAATTTTATTAATTTTCCATTAACAGATTTTTATTGATGCGACATTCTCAGTTTTACTCGTAACAAGAACCGGGATCCTGGCTGCTCCTCAGAATCCTCTAATGTACCCGGATCCACCCCAGACCCACCCAGTCACAATCCCCCTGCGGAAACCCAGGTTTGTAGCTCATAGACACCTCAGAGCGCTCCTGGTAAGAGTTGCTGCCTTTTTATTTCCATTGGGTGAATTGTATTTGTTTTATTAGCCTGCCCCCAGAGTAGAAAGTGGGATTTGGATTGTAAATGTGACAACAGCACCTTACTTTTGGCTGTTACTTCGTGTATTCCTTCCTATTGTT